CTCATGTTACCGAGAAAATAAGAATATATTGTATTCAGTCCATCACAGTTACCTTGTATTGTTATTGTGACTTGTAAAATAAGGAGGGAATGTTGAAGAAAAATTCAGTCAGATCCAGTTTCTGAAATATTTGGAAGATTCTCACACCTTCGGTGGGTGTAGTAGGGTTTTACAGAGAGATAGAACCATTGGGGCATTTATTCGGGGAATGGGCTCCTGTGATTTTTGAAAGCTGGGAGGTTCCATGGTAAGTCATTGGCAAGCTGAAGAACAGAAAAGCTGGTAGCATGTCTCAGTCCAAGTCTAGAAGCCTCAGCCAGGGAAGCTAAGGGAGGGTGCAGCTGCCAGTTCAAGGCCAAAGAACTTGGAGTTCTGAAATGTCCAAGGGCAAAAGGAATGGTATCATGCTGTGTGTGTGTGTGTGTGTGTGGAGTACGCAGAGAACACAAGACTGCCCTTGATCTCCTGCTCTTCCTTACAACAATCTGGCCCTTAGCATTTCTACTTAATAAGGGAACTGCATTAAGTTCCATTATTTCAAATGGTAGTGACTGTTAACAAAGCCCACACTGGAAGATGATTTAGAAGACCCACATATAATAAGGACATTAGTTTCCCCAAGAGTCTCCTTCTGCTGGTAGATGTCCTGTTTGAGTTCCACAGATGTAGAATTACCCAGAACTCAGAAAGCATTCTTGTATCAGGTATTGAAATCTTTACTCAGAAGCTCCCTGTCAGCAAAATTAGGAGGTAGCGTTGCTGTTGAGAGAAACACCTCCCCTCTGCCTCATTCAGGTCAGGGTCTACATTAGGGAGGGAAGTTGTGGGACGATAGGAGGTGGCATGGTGGAAGGGCCCCTGGTTCACCAGACCCCTCCCTTAGATTAGGGAATTTCCTCAGATGTTAACTCGGTTGCCATTTTGTCACAGAATTTCCTGATCAATTGTTTCCCCTATAAGAGTCTCTTTCTCTCTAGCTCTTTTTTTGGAGGCAGGTACCAGGGATTGAACTCAGGGACACTTGACCACTGAGTCATGCCCCAAGCCCATTTTTGTACTTTATTTAGAGACTGGGTCACACTCAGTTGCTTAGCACCTTGGATTTTTTGCTGAGGCTGGCTTTGAACTCATGATCCTCCTGTCTCAGCCTCCCGAGCCACTGGGATTACAAGCATTGGCCTCCTACACAAGTCTCTTAACACCATATATCTTACCTGTCCCTATTTTGTCAAAGTATAAAGATACCTTTATGTCGCTTCTACGTGTGATTCTTTAACATAGATCTCCCCCACTAGCTCCTCAGGTCTGTGTCAACATTGGTGGTTTCTGACCTGGTTATGATCTTTGAAACTAGCCCAGTACCTGCAACATGGGTCATCAGTGTTGGACAACTGAGAGAATTGATGAGTGATTGGACAATTTTGAAGGCCAGATAAGGTAGCTGGAGATTTTATTTAAAAAAAAAAATAACAAGCAGTAGAGCTTCTGATACTTATCTAGGGACCAGCTGTACCGAAGACAGGGCTTTAGTGGATTCCAGGGGATTTGTGGACTGGATTAGAAGGAAAAAAAACCTTCTAATGAAGCACACACCCAGGTTGTTGCAGGCAGAGAGAGGGACCCTGGGCTCCTGGCACCTTTAAACCATGGTCACAGAAATCAAAGTTTCACCTACAAGAGCTGGTGAGGCAATGAATAGAGGAGCCAGAGAGAAGAGGCAGAGATTTCAAGCCCAGGAAATGGGGACGATGAGATGTCCTCTGCTTTAATGACAGACCACTGTGAACAGTGAGCGAAGTCCTGAGCAGGAAGTGGCGGGTGCTTTATAGGGCTGGAGGAGAAACCCGAGACAAAGACAGGCCCTTCGTGTGGCTGGGCTGTGAACTTGGGAGTCCCTGACACACGCAGGTGATGGGCAGACGCTTTTGCACAGCTGAGTCTCCTTCGGGGAGGGAGGAGAATGTCTGCATCCGTGCAGTATTTCCAAGGCCTTCTCATGTCCTGTTTCTTTTGGAGCAAACCYTCCTTGAGTTTTAGAGGCCATTTTTGAAAGATCAGAGTAAGCGGAGTGGTGTGTCCAGTGTCACAGAGACAGTCAATGACAAAGCAAGAATCCAGGGACTCAACCAGAAACCAGATGACTTTTGTATGTGAGGGCTGACAGCTGCGGGCTGTGGCGTCCCACGTAGCTGGCCAGTCGTTGTTGATGTTTCCTGTGTCGATTGTTCTATCAAAGGAGAGCTTAAAAAAAAAAATAATGATAATCTTTTTCTCATAATATGCTGTATGTGAAATGTTTTCTGTTTTCCTCTTTGAATTCGTATTACAGCCCATGAATGCTTTTATGACCACAGTTTCTGAAATAAAACATTTTCTTCCACTCCAAATATGATCACCAATGAGGAAAAAGTAATAGAAATATTTCCTGCTATTACAAAAATCTTCCAAATGGCCAAACAGTATTAGCTTTGGCTCTSTTAAAGGTTACTTCTCAACCATCTGTGTTTTTTATAGACATCTGTCCACGTTTCTGTCATTATCTAAATTAACTGGAAAAAAAATTAACTGGAGTAAATAGAATCACTGTAACCATCCTTAGTATTTGCTTTTCAAAATCAATTCACTTTTTATGAAAAATAAGCTCATTTTTAGGTAGTGTTGGGACTCAAAGTTATTATTTTAAGTTGGTCAAGGCTTATGTGTGCTAAAATTATAGTGAGCTCCCTAAAAATATTGAAATGCTATTGCATTTCTTCTGTGTAGTGATTGCTTGATTTTAAATCATGATGAACTTTCTCTAATACAGAATAGAGGAAAGGAAAGGTTGTAGTAAGCCACTTTGCTTGTTAAAAATACCTTATATTAATCAGCCTTCTAATATGTCTAATTTTTCACTGGTGATACTGAACATAGGAGAACCAAATACAGCTACAGATATGCAGGTATAAATATATATATTCAATCATACACATATATGTGCATATACATGCATCAAAAGACATGTATTTATCATCTKCAGTGATAAGCAATATCAAGTTCTGTCTCGTGGATCTTGCTTATCTAAAACTCWTTGTAACAAACCAGACAACCCACATCAAAGGGCAGTAGAACTAAATAGACATTTCTGAAAAGAAGACATGCAGATAGGTATATGAAAAGCAGGTATATGAACAAAATATGCCAATAGATATATGAAAAATGCTGAATATCATTAATCATCTGGGGGTTACTATTAAACCCCCAATGAGATGTCACTTCATCTTAGGAGGAATGGCTGTTATCAAAAAGACTAAAAAATAAAAATTCTGAGTAGGATCTGGAGAAAAGGCAGCCCTTCCACCATGTTGGTGGGAGTGTGAAGTAGTACAGCCATTATGGGAAACAGTATGGAGGTTTCTCAAAACATTGAAAATAGAACTACCATATGATACAGCGATTTCCTTCCTGAGTACATACTGAAAGGAAAGGAAATCAGTGCACTTGAGATATCGGCACGCCCATGTTTGTTGCAGCACCATTCCCAAGARCCAAAACATGGAAATAATCCAAGTGTCTATCAGATGACGAATGGATAAAGAACAYGGTACACGTACAAAATAGAATATTATTCAGCTGTAAAAAGGAATGAAATCCTGTCATCTGTGACATGGCTGGAACTGGAGATCATTGTGTTAAGTTTAACGAGCCAGGCACAAAAAGATGCCATATTATCTCACTCATAAATGAAAAGTAAAAATGTCAATCTCCTAGTTGTTTAGAGTAGTCTGGTGGTTACCAGAGGCAGGGGAGTCAGAAAGGATGGAAGGAGGAGAAAAGGTTGACGAATGGGTACTGTGTTGCAGTGGGAAAAGGAGTAARAAGTTCTTGTGTACCGTTGCAGAGMAGGATGACTGTACAAAACTGTATGTACCCCATCAACAAGCAAAAAAGAGGATTTTGAATATTTTCACCAAAAAAGAAGGATAAATGTTTGAGGAGATATGCTTAACCTGCTGTCAACATTACACAATAYATACAAGTATCAAAACATCACATTACCTCATTCATATACATAATTTTGAATGTTTTAAGGTAACAGTTAAAAATGAATTTAAATTAAAAAAAAGGAGAGAGAAAAGCTAATGGCCCTGATTTGATCATGATGAATTATATACATTTATTGAACTGTCACACTGGGCTCCATAAATATGTACAATCATTGTGTCAATTAAAAGTTAAAAAAAATGAAAATAAACATGTGCCATTTTAAATGAAAAAATACACATCAGTTGCTCAATATTATACTGTGTATATCTCTTTAGAATATATGACCTTTTCATATATTAAATTATTCAAACGTCACTATTATACTGTTTAGCACTATCCTATACGATGTCAATCYCCATTTTACAGAGAGTGTGACTCGGTACAAATAGAAGCCATTTAATTTCATGAGGTTCAGGCCTACCTTACTTTTCTTTTGACCAGATGCAGTAATGACTCCATATGCTAAAATGTTAAGTGTCATTCAATTTAATTTGAAAATGATAAAGGATAACCTAAAAAGGTAAATCACAAGCTCAACAAGGACATGACCCGGTTTCAGTCCATTTTAGGTTCTTAAAAACTGACACACCTCGTTATGCCAAAATCCAAAGCAGTCTGGTCTAACCTAAAATGTCATGTGCACCCTTCATTGGAACCAGGAGTGGTGTAAAGACGGGCACACGAGGCATTTTGACAGAGGGTAACGTGATGATCATTATTATCCAAAGTTCATGTATAAAGACACGAATTGGTGTGAATATACTTTGTGTACAACCAGAGAGATGAAAAATTGTGCTCTATATGTGTAATAAGAATTGTAATGCATCCCGCTGTCATATATAAATTAAAACAAACAAAAAGACCAGCCTCCTACTAGGAAGTGTGGTAGTGACCATGCAGAATGTGGAAAGCTAGGGGACAATGTGAATGCTGGAAAAGCCCAGTAACCTATTCCTTTGTTTTGTGAATTGTAGCTGACTTTGGCCTGGCAAAGCAAAAACAAGAAAACAGTAAGCTCACGTCCGTCGTTGGAACCATCCTGTATTCTTGGTAAGGATGATTATCTTCCGGCTGTCTGTAGCATACTTYGCTACCTTGGGCTTTCATTTCTATCCTTGGCTTGCAAAGAAAAGGGAATTTTAGGAAAGGAAGCCAGTAAGTTTTCTTCCTTTACCCAGGTAATACACCCAAAAAGAATCGTGGATCATTCTGCATGTATAAAACAACAGCCGAAAAAGTGATCTTTCTTTTCAGATAGCATTTCTCTGTGCTGACTTCATGCACCTACTTTTACCTTTCCTACCTATAAACACTCAAGGGCAGGGAAAGAGTTTCTGTGTGCTACTATATATTCTTCTACCTGGGGGAAAAATAGGTATTCAATAAATTTTATTGCCTGCATGAATAAATGATGACATATATACTTAGACATATGTGTACAAAGTACGTTGTGTTTTGKGCAAGTGAATGTTTATATTTTGACAAATTGAGACACTTATAGATCTTAAAAGCACACTTTGAGGGTTTGTTTGCAAGCCACTTATACGAAGTGAGACTCTTCTTTTGCTAATCATGTATCGTTTATCTGAATCTGTTGAGATGAGCAAACAGATACAAGAGTCAGTAGAAGAGCCAATTTCAGAGAACTCTTCCTAAATCGGATCCAACAGGTCAGTCAAGACACTTCCGTTTTCTTTATAAAATCTAACCGATTGTCGTAAATTGAGTCCTGGTGACAGAACTGAAAATGAATCTTCTTGAAGGAGGTTGGAAATGCCTGGAAACAACAGCCCCATTTTACAAAATCCTTGTAGGACATGGTTATTGAGGCTAATTATACAGGGTGATTTTTCGTTTATTTTACTGGAATTTCCTTATATTTTCTTTTTGAAACAAGTCCCATGAGAAGATGCAAAAGGATTGGTAGTAGCCAGGTTAATATTCCTCAAAAACTGTAAGCTTATCCATATACTTAACCTCTTAACCACAAGGAGGCTGACCCGTTCATTGCTTGTTGCTAGAAGAATAWTTTTTTTTTTGCTTTGTTTTGTTTTTGCTTTGCTTTGAACTTTTTTTCAGAAATAATGAAAATTCTATCACAAAATGTTAACTAATCCTATGTTCCTGGACAGATTCCATTGTTAAAAGTCTCAGAACAAATAAGATACAAACTTAAATTCAGTTGATCGTATTTGACATAAGCAGATTTTTGTTACCAAGCCTCTGAATTAAGTTCAGAATTGCTAATATGATAGTACCAATTTGTCTTTGTGTGCATTTGTGTCAGAAAATTTATAGAGTGTTTAGGAAGAAATCCGGAGCATGATAACTCTTTTGCTTTCTTATCCCAAAGATGGATTCACAAATTTCCTTTAATTTTTAAATAAACAAAAGTATTAGTTTTGCTGAGTCTATTAGTATAGACAAGCTATTATATTTCATATCGGTGTTGTGATTGTTTTAATAACGTGTGCAGCGTATCTCATCACTATTCATCCTTCTATGGAGCCCTGTGGTGTCCTTTAAATTCCTTTAACATTTTTTTCTTTCGCCTCTTTCCTCTCCCCTCCTCCATTTGTTAGAAACGCTCTGTTTTCTGGGTTTTACTATGAAGTCGGACTCAGTGCTATCTGTTTTCCTGGCTTTCGGTACCTTCACCTGCACACAAAGTCAAAAGATGCTGTTCTCTCGTGGAAGCAGCTAGCACTGTGAACCACAATCATCGGGGCCAGGGAGTGTTACTGGGGATGGTGATTAAGGAGTTATGAGGGTTGTCCTGTGTGATGGGTGAGAGGCGCTCTGTTCCCCAATCACAAGGGGGAGCCCTCGGCAGCCGCTGGGAAAAGCCTCAGCAGGATCTTATACTGTTGGACACAGGCTGCCCTGGACGTGCCCTGAGGTGTGAGTGTGAGGGGACCCAGCGGTGTCAGCAGTACAGTTTCTCAAGTCTTAATGGTTTCAGATTTAGGATGGATCCCAATAAGTTGTTTGGCATGTCTACTTTCTTTTGAATTTTCCATACAGTCATTTTGGGATTTTTTTTCTCTGATTTTTATGAATTGGAAAAAAAATCTCACCGTCAGTGGTCAGAGTCTCATGCCTCTGCCTTTTCTCAAATTGTCCCTTTACCCTTTAATTTTTTTTTTTTTTTGTAATCCTTCTGAGCTTTTTTGAACCTATAAACATGGACCTGAGATCCTGGGGAACTTCTGTCCCAGGCTGTCCAAGTCGGGTGAACCTGACATTCTCATGTCATTTCGCCCTTTTCCTTTGCTTCTGTTTGGGCAGACGTGGGAGAAGGTTCTCTCCATCAACTCCTGTAGGAAGCTCCTTGGAGCATTCTTTATTCTTTTTGCAGCTGCTAGATAAATGGTTTGCAGGCACGTTGCTGGACTGGCTATACTAGAATAGAAGCTCCCTAAAAAAATCTCCTTTTCTTTATCTAATTTGATTCTTTATTAGGCAAGCCTTGGTTATGCTTCTCAAGGAAAAATAATCTCCAGATATGGCCCTGATTTCCATTCCCTCTCTCTATTTCTTACTCCAACTCCGGAGAACAACAGTTGTATTCCATCTTCAACTACATTTTCACAGCAGATTTTAGAGTTTTGGGCTCTGGGAATCATTTCATGCTAGTTCTTTGTGGAATAAAGATTTGGAATTTAATAATCAGGTAATGATTTAATAACAATGAGACTTTTCCTGGAATGGGAATTCTTAAAAATTCTACTGTTCTTTATGAAGTTAGATAATTAGCAGAAAAGCTGGTGAAGCGTTTCCTGGGTCGATCAAACTAAGCCTATAGGTAAACCCAAGCAAGTAGAGACAAAGTGCAGCAGTCTCATACCATCTGTAAACTCTCAAGTTCTTAAGGAAGCTATTATGCACTCAGAAATCTTAAATTATACACTCAGAGAATCTTAAATGCTTAAAACACTTCTGTGACTTCTGGTTGTTTATGTAAAGACTAAGTTCTTAGTATGACTGCAGGAATTCATCTCTGCATGCTCTGGCCCCAGCCGCCTTCTTCTGCTTTACCTCAAACCAGACTTTACTCTGATAATTCCATCTGGGCTCTCTCCAATCACAGGACCTTTGCACACACAGCTTTCTTTACCTAGAAAATGCTTTTCTCACTTGTCCTGCTTTGAACTTTTACCTGTTCTTCAGCTCTCAACTGGAATGTTGCTTTCCTCAGAACCCAATCGATAAGGTATATTCCCCCTGGTCTGTACATTCCCTATAATTTTTCTACACACAGTTGAATTTTTCATTTATTTTTGATAGTTGGTGATGATTTTGTTAACCACCATCCCCAGCACTGAGCCCAGAGTCGGGTACTTCATAGACTCGTGAGAAATAGTTGCTTCACAAGTGATGCCATATTAGCATGATTTTGAACAATGCCCCAAATAACGTGCTATAAGGAAAACCGTGATCCTTTTTATTGTGTTAACTTTTCCATTGGTTCACATCCTTCCCCTTCCTGTTCCTTCAGATCTCCAAAATGCTCCTCCCTCGAATGCTCCTCCTCCAGATAGTTGCAAAATCTACTCCTTTACTTCCTTTTGGTCCCTGCTTAAATGTTTTTCCTGACCACCGGCCCCAAATAGCAACCTCTGTTTGCATTCAATTCCTGGATCTTGCTTTAGGTTTCCAAAGCTCTTGCTTCTGTCTGACCTTGTACTGTACAGAGGGCCCCTGACTTTGGATGGMTTGACTTACAATGTTTTGACCTCACGACGGTGTGAATGTAGCATGCATTCCCTGGAAACTGCACATTAAACATGGATCTTTTCCGGGTCTAATGTGTATGTAAGATACGCCTGAAATGTTGGGCAGTGGCCGTGAGCCACAGCTCTATCAGCCACTCAATCCCAAAGGTAAACAGCAGAGGCTCTTCCGTACTGTGTGAGTGAGCCGTGACCTTGATAGGTTTGTCATATCAAGCACATCCTCGACTTATCATGTCCTCAACATGCCATGGGCCCATCCTGACATACCCCAGGGCCCGTTGAGGAGTGCCTGCCTACCTCTTGGTGCATCACAGACTCCATGGGAACAGGACTTTGGCCTCCTCTGCTCACCACGGTTTCCCCAGGACCCAGAGGCACAGAATGGCAAATCTTAATATTTTGAATAACTAAGTGAAAATAAGCCATTCTGCATTTTAATAGAATATAAAAAAAAATCAGTGCGCGTTTTTATTGGGCTCAAAGGTATTAACTAACATATCTTTGAACTTTCCTTGCTTTTGCCTCACTGAAGGCTGACGTGACTACTTTGAACTTGGGATAGTAAAGTACCTTGACGAGAGGATCTGTTTTATTGCTTTTTTTTCCATTTACTTATTTTATTTTTAAATCTTCTCTAGTTACTGGGACAGTGAATAATGAGATCAAGTAGGATATTATCATTTTTGAAACAATGAGGCATGGGATGATTATTAATTATTGAGAGAAGCATTCTTCTATGACTGATAAATTGGCCCGGAGGGAAATTGCAAGAGAGGAATTTTAAAAATAAGAGCATAATAGGAATAAAAATATAGTATTGATAGATATAGGTTGGTAGGTTGTTCCAAAGAGGACAAAGTCTGGAATCACACTGCCTGGGTTTAAATTCTAGGTCCGCTGTTGGGAGTTACAAATGACAGAACTCCGTGCCTCAGTTTCCCCACCTGCAACCTGGGTATAACAAAAGCATTCCTCTCCTAGATTATTATGAGCGTAAGTGAGGTGATGCATATTAGGTACGGGGCTGGCATATGGTAAGCATGCCCTGATAAGACTGATTGTCATGTGCTGTTGGTTTAACGTCTGAAAGGATAGTCTGAAAGGAATGTATAGATTGCATGGTGCTTCAGAATCAGGTTTGTGGCTTAATAGGTACAGTAGAGAAGAATTCATTATGCTCTGGTTATTTCTAGATCCTTTTCTTTCCCAGTCTCTCTTTTGGGTTCCTGGGTCACTGATTTGTTTATGGTAGGGAAGAGAGTTTTTTTCTAGCACCTAGGCCCAAGCAGCAGAGAACTATAAAAGGGAAGGGAG